ACCCCTCACTTGAGGTCCCCCTCGTTGTTCGCCTGGGGTCCCAGACTAATTCGTTAGCCATGGGTTAAGTTGGTTGCAAGCCCCGGTACGTTATTCGACTCGAAAGCGTCCGAACGAGGGACAAGGATCTCGTCAGGGACCTTTCGGTCTTCTGGATGGTGAGTGCGGCCTTATTGTCGGCTACAGTGTAGGAACTCAAGGCTGCCACCTCATTTCTGTTTCCGTTTCTGTTCTACTTATGTCTATTTCAGGGTCACTTTCCTTGTTTGCTTTGACCCTTTCCTCTCCTTCTTTCTTTATTCTATATTTTTTGTGTATCATGGATTGTCAGCTTTCAAATTCTGTTCTTTATCGTGTGCACACCCTTTCTGGTGTATCAAAATAAATAAATCAAATAAATAAATAAATAAATAAATAAATATTGCAGAATACTGGAGCTCTAGAGACGATGAACCCGGCGCAGGTCGTTTTCGCATCATGTTGGTTTTCAAAGCATAACTCTTCGGAGAAGCTATCCAGGCAGTCGGAAAAGTGACAAATCATAGGCAAAAGGTCTACCTAGTAGGATGTTCGCAGGACTAATTCGTAGCCAATCTTGTCGAACTTCTGCAGGATTGGTGGTGGAGTGTGCGTTTGAGCTACCTGTCAGAGACGAGCCGGTTCCTTTATAATGAGGAATTCGAGCATATGTGTCAGAGTTCTGGGCGTAATTTTACAACTTATCAGGAGTGCTTTTTCCACATTGACATATTTATCTGGTTACGAAAAGCTAGACCAGCCGCTTACCCTATGAAATTTACCTCAACCTTCATTCACTTAAGTTTCACTTTTGCAAAGTTTGTAGAGCCTGAACGCGGTCGATCACTTCACCAAAGGTTCGTATTCTGTAGCAAAGAACCCGTTCTTTGTCAATGATCAAAAAGTCAGGTCCTTTTCATAGCATGAAACAAGCTAAAACGCGGCGAGCGACCCTTCAAAATGGTGAGCTGTCGCGGCACGCCCTATTCGAATTTTCAGGACTTTAAAGCTCTTCCCGTACTACAAGAAAACACAATGCAAGGGCGATTACTTTCGGAGGGACTCTCTCAATAGATTTGTGCAAACGTGCCTTAACTGGAACGTTCGACTAATCGTTGGCGTTGTCCAATCTCCGATCACCATTCTCATAATATTCAGGGCTCTCGCTATTCTTACAGAAGGTTTTTGAACAATTGCTTTACGCCATATTCATTGCGAACATCAGCCAAGTGCGACTATAATATCTTGACCTGCTTCCTCTCCATACTGGCCTGCTTTGGGCTAGAAAAAGAAAACCATGCAAATTTGCTCTTGGAGTATGCCGTATTCAAAGCTTCAAAAAATGACTACTAAATGATAAGAAACATAGCTAGCCTAGCTGTTGGATAGAACAAGAAAAGCTCTTCAAAACCACATACAGCTCATTGGCGGCTTGCTTGAATTCGTAACAAAATAAGGCGTTGAAAAACGAAACCGAAAAGCGCAAGAACTTTCTTCACGACTTAATATTTCTACAAGTTCCACCTCGGTGAACAGCAAAAATAGCTCGAAATATAATGTTGGTGTGTAGTCAAAAAAAAAGCTATCAAGAAAAACTGTTCACCGCCGGTACCAGAAACTTCGCCGTGGCGATTTTGATTATCAAAATTAGAAATGTCGCTTATAATGATTATGCGCTCCGGAATAAAGGATTTGATGGAAGAAAGAAAACGAACGTACTGTTAGGTGAAACGTGGTAGAGTTCCTAGGTATAGTATTGATTATTTGGGGGGGGGGGCGACAAATGTGACCAGTGGATTTTCTACAAGTGGTGTACACAAGCAGGATCAACCGCGCATTGTTCAATTGCAAAATTTTCACGACCCCTCTTTCGGAGGGCACAGTGCGCTCCCCCTCTCCCTGTTAGCTATATTGTCTCTTTTCGTGTATTTGTACCCATAATTGATGTATGGGCCGTTAGTGGACGCTGGTGAATCCGTGAGCTTTGTTTCGCTCAGAGGACGGGAACCAAGGCAACATCATACTTTACTCATTGAATAGAAGTAACTTCCGAATGTTTGCGTAAACCTAAGCATGATGATAATCGCAGGGTTTTCCACTTACAGGAACCTACCGGTTTTTTTTCTTTGCGAACTACTGAATCTCCTTTTTTCACCTAAATAACTGAACCTTACAGCAATTACATTACGATACAAACTTCTTCATTCGAAAGGTCATATCTTTCTTCAAAAACAGGCATAAGATGAGGTACAGAAATTTAAAAACTTGAAGTTTTTTCTCTCAAATACTTGTCAAAATATTGCGAATCTTCAATTCTTCACAAAACCTTCACGTTTCCATTTTTTGCGCACACGCAAGTTTTCGATACTAAAAGTTCAAAACTTTTTAGCATCGTTGCCTTTTTGCAGATTTCTAAGACAAATTAGAAACTGGAAGATTAGCACTTTCAAGAAGAATATTTAAAAAAATTTGAACGACCACTTTCATTGTTTCTTTTTTCCCTCTATCCTTATTTTAGGCCACTCTTCGGAAACGCGTGATTTCAGCCTTCAAATGGCCATGAGTTTCTAGTAGACCTTTTAATTGAGAAGCTGTAGAAACCATTGAGATCAACACGATCAGTATTTTATAGCATATGCTAGATTACCCTAAAAGGGAATTTTTCGCCTGCTAGACGTTTCTACATATTATGATTTTAGTGGTCAACCCGCCAAATTCGCTGCACTTTCCTCCACTTTAATTTCTCTGGGAAAAAAGCTAACTTTTGTGACCACTGGGGCATGACGTATTGCAGTAGGATCCCGTTCTAGGATGCGCCGTTCAATCGTCTGTGGTGCGTAATCGCAATGGCAGTTGAAAGTCTGTTCTCCTTTGTCACTTGGCTATGCCTTGGCACCTTTGACCCTGCATGTCGTCCTGTGAAAGTGGAGTCGTCCTGTGAGCAGCTGTCGGCGCTCCTTTGCGCAACAAGAACGACGTTTCATCGAGGGTTTCGTAAGGTATGACCAAAATTGGATCCTTTGCAACAATCGCATAGGATCGGCTCCGTGATTGGGTCGCCTTGAGGGATGCCATCTTCCTGAATGAAATCTATGCGTATGGCGACCTGCTTCAGGCCTGATTCGCGACAGCTCCTTGAAACTCAGTGAAACAATCACGGCAGAAGGGTAAGTTTGAAAATTGGACCAAGTATACCAAAAACCTCAACATCTGAGCTCAGTCTCATGGTGATCGAAAGCGAGAGGCTCCCGACAGCAATGCGCGGTCACACATCGCACAACTGACGTTCCAAAACCCTGTCAAGTGGGATAGATAGTCCTGCCTCACTCATCATATTTACCAGACCTCTTCCTTATAAACCGTCACTTCTTGATGAGTCTCGACGAATTCTTGAAGCAGAAATGCTTTAGTAGCCAAACTCAGGTGGAAATTTACTTCCGAGTTCATCGGCTACAGAGCTCCAGACAGAATGATAGCACTTGAACGAAGCTTTCCTCATCGAGATCGCTTCATACTGCAGAACGAAATAGATTTCATATGGTGTGATACAAGGTGTACTGAAATTTGACGGCCAAAGCGTATTTCATATTAAGCTGTTCGTCATTGCTGGGCAAGACTTCGAGGACAAACGTTTAACGATTGAGGAGTGGCCAAAATCCCACCCTGCGCCCGTGCGATTGCGTACAGCAGGCGATTACAGTACTCTCACGGCTAGTTCCGCTATCGTTGGCGCCCTGTTTTCGAATGAATAACTGAAGAGGTGACTTATATCTAGTCTAGTTCCTGTTTCCCTTCCTTGTTCCCTTCCTTCCTTTCATATATCTTCGAGACTTCAGCAGTGAATATTTGTGGTAGTGGATATGAAAATTCCTATCTCCTATCAGCAAAAGTGGAAGCGAACTACTGACAAGCATTTAATACAAATGATTGGAATCGTGAGAACAATGTTTCCACATTTATAGCGCAATAGTTAAGCTTTTGCTCACAGCTTATGTGAAAACTGCTATTATCTTCCAACGCAGAAGCTGTAAAATCCCACACAAGGTTGGCGAATAGAAGCGCCAAGTCATCATGCTCCTCCCCACCCCTGCTGGTCCCCTTATGGTTAGTACTAGGCTGTGAGTCTAGGGGGATGTGTGAGCACTGTTCATTACCCTCAAAGTTCCTCTTCTCCAAGGCTCAGTAAGCGTGAGCATGCCCCTTTGAGTACACTAGCGCCATAAGATTCGCAGGTAACGCAACCGCCCAGTAAGCGATTATCTCCATGGACTGAATCACATTTACAGCATCTTTTACATAAAGAATGAATATATCCCGTGCCTATCATCTACAAAGTATGGCGCTCCACTTTCAGCACAAGTCCATCCTCACAAGGATACATCCGTATCAGATTTCTATGTCTGGAAATTATCTACAATTGCGACTAACTCGAAAACAAGGTGGCCGTGAGACGCAACTACTAAGCCAGTTCATGATGACAACTACCTACGAATTAAGAACTCTCTTCCCTCAGGTCGCAAGTAAACTTCGTCCCCTCGAGTCCCCCTGCACTCGTACAATGCATAATGGCATCAATGATTGTTCTAGTGCGGAACATTATAAATACCCCTAGCACATTACCCTAATTTGCATGTTTGAAAGAAAATGACATGAGGAATTAGAGTGGTTTCCAGGCGCGCAATGGTTTTCCAACGATATGTAGAGCATCTCTCGGTACCCGTCACCTATCTGAAAGGAGAAATGCGATGGCTCGACCTCTGTACAATATTCGGAGCTGTGCTAGTTTGAATTGATTAGCCTTCCATTTCCTTTCATCACGAGCCCCGCCTGTCATCATCAGTTACACAAATGTCAACGCCAGTAGAACTAGGCGTGGGCGTACTGTAATCGCTTGCGGTACGCATTGCACCGGCGCAGGGTGGGATATATACGTAACATCTGGATCGAGCTATAACGTGATATTGTGCTGAACTTTTTTCAGAATGTTGTCACTGAAAAAGCGTCCTCTGCTATCAAAATACAATGCACCAACTGTTGAAAGCGATTCTGAAGGAGAAGACAATGCTCCGAAAAGGTCGCCATTGCCAACAGTGGACAGCAATTTCAAGATTCCTTGGCGAAAGGAGAAAGTAGGTTTGTTTCTTTATCTACGGTCTTGATTGTTTTGGTATGCCAATCAATCATTCGTTTTCTGCTGTTTATTTGCATTATGTTCACTTAACATTCACGCATTAACTGCGTCCAAATGCAGTTATAACTCATTGTAGGAATTTTCCAAAATCTCACCAATTAAGAAATTTCAGACAAAGTCTAATAATGGCATGTGTTATATTTGAATGCGAAATTGTTGAAATCCTAACTTGATCTTAGCAGATTTTTTTCGTCATAATTTTCTATAAGGGCCAGGCGATGTCGCCAATTATAATTCTATCTTATGTCTTTTTTCTTTACCTTCCACTTCTGTTTCACGAAAAAGCGCTTTTGCATGGTACGGGTTATTTGAACTTTCTTCTGTGATCCTGTCCCGAATGGATAGAAACAAGAGAGCAGCACCTAGATCGGCTCAAAAATCCTAGGCTGGTGTCAGAGTCCGCGATCCGCCGCAGGTTTCGCTGATTTTCGGCGATTTGCGCGATTTTCGCGAAACCTGCGATGGATCACAGAAGGTGGAAGTGTCCGATGAATACTGCGAGGTGTTGTTTAATCCTGCTGCGAATTTTGCTTGACAGTAAAATTGAAAGACGAGGTTCTACTTGTTTCATGTTCATGTCTTTAGTTCATTGTAACTGCTCTTGAATCGTTCCTATTTTTTTAAGGAACGAAACCAAACCAATCGCAAAATTGCAAGTGCCCCATTTGAACAACTGAAACACTGAACGTGAAACAAGTGGAATAATGAGCAGTCTTCATTAACCCATTCGCGACCGCGCAGGATTGCGCAATATCAGCAGCCTCGGAGAATTTTTCTTCAATAAAATACGAGTGAAGCGAGATTTCCTCTCCCCAGGGCTGGCGTAGATGAGCGGGGGTATGAAGATTCTTTCCATGGAAGAAAACTTTCCAAATTCCATTTCAAGCCCTGCAGCCACAGTAATACCATTGCACCGAGTGAGAGCTTTGTCAACCACCGGTGGCTGACATTGTCACGAATGGGTTAAACCATAACCATGAAGCAGAAGTGACGGCGGGATTGGAGAACACCTTGCAGTATTGACGGGGCAGTTGTGATTTCCGTGACCCGTCGCGTTACTCGCGCAAATCGCGAAAATCAGCGAAACCTGCGGCGGATCGCGGACTCTGACACCAGCTTAAGGAGGAATGGGAGATTTAGTACTAAGCGTTCCAGTATGGAAATGAATGTGTGGGACTACAGAAGTAATGAGCCGCTGTTTAGGCGAGGGAGCGCAGACGGTAGCATCAAATTGAGACGGTCCACTATCGAGTTCAAGTAGTGCATAGGCTTGCTCACTCACTCCGTAGTCTCTCCTCCCTCCGAATGAGGCTTTTTTTGTCAGAAAGAGGTGAAGTTTCACGCGATTTTTAATGCGTTGCCACCACAATGCCCGAGTATCCTGCGATAGCGTACACATTACTTTTTTATTGTGATAACATTTGACTTTTTAGGAGACAGTTTATAAAAACTGTTGTCTTACTATTCAAAAGGGCAGGCTGTAAGAATGTAAGAATTGCTGAACTATGCATCGTGCACCTGGACTAAATTCATGGCGAGCTCAACAATCTCTTCAGGCACTTTACATGATATGGAGCGGAGACGAGTTCAAGGATTCCTCGCTTTTCGATAAAAGCAAAGGCCGTATTTCAGGAGGGACATTCAGTTCTTCCAAGCCGTGCTCTATCATCGAACCTTCTTTAAAGCTTGTTTTTTCGAAGGACTAATGTTTTGTGCATGTGGAAGGATCCTAAGTTCATCTTTGCGTTTAGTATGTGAAGGCAAGAAACCATTGCTAAAAACGAGCCAGTTTTGGCATGAATATGCATACGAGCCGACTGAAGTACGTTCCGCTTTTGCTTGCTATGCAATAGTGCTTATCTGTCTTTCTCTTCACCGTTTTCTTTCTCATGGTAGTGCTTCGCAAAAAAGCCATCAAGGGAACGGAAAACGAGGAGAATATCAGACGATTGTTCAAACACACCAAACAATGCAACTTTATCACACTCGTCCCGACTTCATGCAGAAATGGGCTAAATTTTACATGGCTTTTGCCACTCATGATGCCTTCCACATTTCTCAAGGATGAATTCGGCTTCTCTAGCGCGCCAACATTAGTCCGTTGAGGCCTCATTTTTTGAAGGGGTTAATGACAGTGCACGACTTTATAGGACTGTATGTTTTTCGTAACATGGCCTTGGCTTCTATCGAAAAGCAAGAAGGGATCCTTGGAGCTACTCTCAGGTTCATATCATGAAAATCCCTGGGAATATTTTCGAGCTCGGCGTGAATTAAGTCCAACTCTCGCGCGATTGCTCAGCTCATCAATTTTTGCCACAACTTTATCTTTCGAAGTCCGATAGTAGCGTTTTTATTTCGCCGTCCTCTTGAGAAGTAAAATGTTATCACAATAAAAATTTCACGCAAGCGAAAAGTATTTATACCACTTGGTAGAAAAAATGGGTGGTATATAATTCTGTGACATCGTCTAACACGTGATGGGTCGCGGAAATCACAAGTACCCGATCAGTACTGCAAGGTGTTCTCCAATCCTGCCGCCACTTCTGTTTGATAGTGAGGGTGTGGTTTATTAGGACAGAAAGCGACTTTTTCGCGTTTCGCAGCGCAAAGCTTTGTTCGTTGCGGGAATCTCGGGTCCATTGATGATCCGCTGTGGGAACCTCGGGTACGGGTATGCTTAGCGGTGGACATGAGGTTTGCGCAGCGGAGAATTTTTGCGCTGGGAAACGCGAAAAAGTCGCTTTCTGTTGAACAACACCCTGATAGTGATGGCTGAATGACGACTGCTCATGATTTCACTTGCTTCATATTCAGTGTTTCAAATGTTGAAATGAAGCACTTGCAGTTTTTGCGATCCGTCGCAGGATTCGCGGAAATCGCGAAAATCAGCGAAACCTGCGATGTATCGTGGACTCTGACACCAGGCTTACCGCGTCACAATGTCTGACGTGGTATGCGAGGTGGGACGCGTCACCGCGTCACGCTGTCGTCGAAGTGTTAAGGCGTACTTGTTTCAGAAGGGAGACGCAGATGGATTCTTCGTCTTGGACACAGGAAATGTAGATGAGGCGCTACCTGCATCTCTGGCAAGTGGGAAGGACGTAGTGGAAAAGTCAAACAGTTCCATTCATGGCAGCACCTCTGATACCAGCTTGGTGGATGAAAGATTACAAAAGGTTTATCTTTAGTTTCATGGAGGGGTGCTGTAGAGGGCTCCGTTAAGTTTTTTTTTCCACACGTGAGGGCATGGCTGCAGGCGACGGTCGTTCTCCCGCACACTCGCGCGCCCCTTAGACGCGGCCTCGGAGTCGCGTGGGTGCGGTTCGTTAGGGAATTTTTCGTGCTGCGAAACGCGAAAGTGCCGTTTTCTGGGTGCTAACTTAGTTGAGGGGGGGGACCACGCAGCGGCGCGGCGCTTTGCTCGCCTAGCGCTCTCTCGAGCGAAATAGTCTGTACTCGAACATTCCAGCTTTTCGCGCATGTCAACCGACTGCCCTCACCCCCTCCACCCCCCACCCCCAGACTGCCTGCAGTCCCCCTGGCTCACGGATTTGCCGAAGTACGCAAAGATGCCAGGCGAGCAAAAGCGCCGCGCCGCCGCGTTGTCCCCCCCCCCCCCAACTAAGTTAGGGTGTGGTTCACTAGGGCAGAAAGCGGATTTTTCGCGCTTCGCAGCGCGAAGCACTTTTCGTTGCGGAAACCTTAGGTCCACCTCTGATCACCAGTGGACCCGAGCTTTCCGCTACGAAACGCGAAAAAGTCGCTTTCTGTCCTAGTGAACCACACCCACTAAGTTAGCACCGTTTTCTGTCCTAGTGAACCACACCCGAGCCGCGCAACAGTGGGAGCCCTACCGACTCATTACCTTTTGTCGTGGCCACGCCTCGAAGCGTGAAAAAACTCGCGGAGCTTTTACGATGTCCTCATTTTCTGAGATCAGTAGTCAAGGGGAGAACGTTTCCTCATTTCACGCTTCCGCAAATTTTAGTTACTCGATAAAGCAGTGTGTGGTCCATCTTTCGAAAAGAACTATGGTGAAACCGCGAAACTAATGGGAAGGAGAGCCATGAAGAGACTGAGAAAGGTAGGTATATATGCAGAATATAAGTTGGGCAAAATAATGAGGAGTTTTTACTGATTGTGATATTTGTTCTCCAGACGCCATAAGTTTTTACATTGGCATAATTTTTCTTATATCATTTTTTGTAGTGAGGAGCAGTCCTTGAGTCATTGCGGCCCACTTAACACTGCTTCAGAACCTTCGATTTCCATGCACAATATGCACGTCTAGTTGTTTTGACGTGATTTTTTTGCTTCTGCCACGAGACTGTTAGTTGGATGCCGTACCATCATTATCAAAGGCTCAAATTCAACCGTGAAGTTTTTGGGTGCTACTGCTGTATGGGACAACGAGGGACGGTCACACGTTGGGCATATCCATTCCTTTTATTCACCGCTGTCATGGCAAGAACATCTAAAATTGGTAGCCCTTTGGTCTTTTTGGTTGCTTACTGCAGGTTTTGTCGCAGTTTTCCTTGCAAAATCACATTATCACAAGAATGCTGAGTTGTGAGCAAAACTTTGCCCCGGACGGGATTCCATCCTTTCACCTTTTGCTTGTTGGGAAAGTGTGCAATCAATTCTACTACCCAAGTCTTATTTCACCTTGACCCAACTTTTAATGGGATATTTCAAAAGAATGCTGATTGTGGGCAGAACTCTTCATCTCAGGCAACATTCGAACCTGCAACTGACCAGGAGCTGGTAGCACACTTGTCCAGTAAGTGAGAGATGCGCATCTAATCCCGTTTGCGGTCATTTGCCCAGAAGTCAGCATTCTTGTAATAACGAACAGTAGTAAAAATGACGAGGTTTCAAGACGCGAGAACTCGGAAGGGTTTCACTCAGCAGAGAATGAATGACGAGTACATTGCGATTCTATCAGGTCGGTCCATAAGTCTTGCAACAAACTGGCCAAATTTTGAATTTAATATTTTCATTATCTTGATGTTCCATTCATCCGGCATGGCTTAAGCGGGCCTCCGATTCAATAGTCTCACCTGTAGGTTGGTGCAAAACACACAAGTAAGCTTGCTCGATGCCTTCCTTTTAGGAGCTGCTACTGGAATTCTGACCGAAATAAAGATAGATGTCGATTTTGACAGCATCATGGGTTTAGGGATCGAGCTTTCATCTCTCTAGGAGATGTTTGGAGAGGGAGCAGAAGGCATTTTGTTTTGTAAAGAGGTCAAGGCTATAACGTGAATACGGAAGAACTCTCTCCCCCAGAGACTCGAGTTTTTTCATTAATCTTTCTAGCAAGAGGTTTTCAAACGGGTTATAACAAAAGCAAACTTTGCCCTTGTTTTTCTTTCGTATTAAAAGCGTTGCATTCGAGCTATGGTAGACTGACTTCTTTTTCTTGACTGCGACATCTAATACGTAGGAGTTTTCCAGAGCTAACTCCTCACCGTGTTCACACGAAAAAATCCAGAATGCCCTCACTTGGAAGAGGTTAAACTTAAGCAATATGATTCCCCGAAGCGTTTAAGCTGGACTACCACCGCTTTTGTTCACGGTTGTTGTAAACTTACCCAGTCCTCATCTTCGGCAAATGTTATGAATGGTCAATCGTAGAAATCTAATGAGTCGACATGAACATAACGGTTTTTCAGATCGTGTTTGGAGGCTGAAACGGGCTCAAAGCATTAAGGACCTAACTCTTTATTTTCCGGATCTTGACAGTCTTTAGATGCCAACAGTTGCTGTCTCCTTTTCGCATCGGAATCGCACATGTAGGGCGAATGATCGAATACTTCTATACAGATCCCTTTTCAACGGGCGTCAAGATAGAGCATTGTGATTGTCATCCACAGGGTGTTGTAGTTGTGGGTTATTTTCAACTAACAAGTCAACGCTAGAGCAGAGTGAAGCGCCGTTGCACTGTGGTTGAGAGAATGCGTGCCCTCGGCGCTTATCTGAGCTTGGAAAATAATGTGTGCTAGGACTGATTGCGGAACAGTTTCTGGTAGGCAGACACTCGGTAAAAAATTAGGCACTCGAGAGCCTCATCGCGAACTCGTGTAATATCATAATAAAGTAAGCAATCAACGAGGCTGGAACTGTTTGGCTGAAAATGCTAAAAGGATTTTTTATGCTAACGATCGTGAAATATTTTGCGGATTTTCAGGAGTTTCTCCTAAAATTTTATAGCATTAAATTGTAGTCTTTTAGTTTGCAGACTTTATAGACGACCTAATATCTCACTAAAATTAGCAAGGAACGGTTGCATCTGAAAAATTTTGTTGCTGCATATTCCCGCGCGACACTGGCGATAAGTAGTTTTCAGCATGAATGTTGCCGATTAAATCAGTGAGATATTGATGGATTTTGCTTTATAATTGAGACTAAATACTGGCTAATTTGTAGCATGGCAGTTCATAGAAAAGGACGTAACTTCGCGAGCCTCTATGAACTTTTACATTCTAATATTGATGATTTGAATAATTGTTTTTTTTTTTTCAGATTGAGCGTGAAAAGACAAAGGGACGTGACTGGTTTGATCTTCCTGCTAGTGAACTTACTGAAGAAGCAAAGGCGGACTTGGAATTGCTTCAGATGCGTTCCGCTATTGATCCGCTCGCATTTTACAGAAGAAATGATCGCAAAGTTCTACCCAAGTATTTCCAGGTGAGTAGTAAGCGTTTGCTTGTCGCTAGTATTCATTATTGTGATACTTTTTCGAACACTTCCTCCATTCTTTCTCTTTCTGCTGTATTGTTCTTTGTTTTTGAATACTTCATGGCCCTTGCAGAAATGGGAGATCTTTTTGTGGCACTATTTACCTTTAACACTCTTCCGATAATTTTTCTCGAAATTCTTCCATGACTGAGCATTTGGTTAGAAAGTTGCTCCCGGGGGTAAATCGACCCATAGGACACTATCACATCCGTTTCATATAAGAGCCGGCAAGTGCCGGCGCTGGCGCCAGAAGCCTTTGATCAGCAAATTTGTCGAAAACTCGTCCTCAGAGGTGGTTTGACCCGCGAAACATGAATACCACATTAGCTCTTAGTGAATTAACCTGTAGCTTGCGCAACAGGCACCGGCACACAAATGGTGTGGTAGCGCCAGCCCCTGTAGCGCGGGCGCCGCTCGTTTTTTTTTGCCAAAAGTGTGACATTCGGGTTCTACGGGTTGAAATATCTCTGGGGACGACTTTTCAGCGAAATCGTATATCATAGAAAAACTTCGACTAAAATCCGGCTCAGTTCTTGAGGAATGGGGCGGTAAAGGGTAAACAGTGCCGCACTCTAATTCCTCTTTTTCTGTCTTCTTTCTTCTATTTGTTCGTTCTTCTCTTCTCAAGCTTGGTGATTTTTTTCACATGTTCAATGAACTGTGTTAGCTGCTGTAGCTTAATCCAGTATTTGGTTTTTATATTCAGGTTGGACGTGTTGTCGATGCTCCGGAAGACTTTTATAGCAGTCGTATGCCTAAGAAGGAAAGAAAACGTACGATGTTAGACGAATTGCTCAATGATCAGCGACTTACGCAGTCGAAACGAGAGAAGTAAGCTTTCATTAACTTCCATGTTGATTTTCCTTTTATCAAGAGTACATCCATGCCGTCGTTCAGTAGCATTGTGCATTGATTTTTTTTCCGCAACCGCTGCGAGCTCAAGCTGCGATAGCAGAATAGTAGCATTGCGAGTTGAAACCTGCCCATATCTGATTCTTTTTATTTCGCGTGAAATTGCGAGTGGCTTTCGGTTTGGTTTCGAGTTCCATCCGCATGCACTTCTAGAATCATCAGCTAATCACAACATTCCTTCTCAATATTAATTGGCACCAATTTTACAGTTTCAAAGTACTCAAATTACCGAAGCAAGTATTAGGTACCGGATATCTTAGTTCGTATTTTTTTGACCACGAGTGCGGATTCCCAATATTTTAATTCAGAATTCGGGGAGTGAAGCAGCATAATTATTGAATGACCCATTAACACTTTCCCATTTACTAGTATAAGTGGAAACCTCGTACGAATAAACTCGGAGTTTTTCGAGTCGAAAAAGAGAGGCAAGAAGGTTTTGACATCATCTGACAAATCATCCCTCTCACTTGCTAGAAATTTAGGCCTGGACAAAAGAAGCATACATTTAGTTAGTGTAGGGTCCGCACTGTATGGTGGAGATGAAACTACTATAGGTCCCACCATTTCAGCGCAAGGCTGGTGCAGCCCCGTCTCGACTGATTTAACTAGGGCCACCTCTTTGACTACTATTGCGGGCATCACTTTAAAGAGTTCACTGTCTTTTGGGAAAACTGTGAAAAACCGATGAGCATTCTAAATGGTAGAGTTCCCTCCAACAAATGCAATGTTGGTTTGGTGGGCGGAAGTTGTAGCTCTTAACAAGAATTTTGAAGCATTTGGTACATACATGCGAATTTGCACACTCGACCCAGGGATTTCTAAAAGAAGTATAAAAAATTAGGGAATACATAGTTAAATTGTGAACCAACAATAGAAAATAATAAGCAACATATTTTGCAGTATGAATGAGCAAAAAGGACTTTCTGAGATATTGATGTCCTATAGAAATTTTCCCCAAAACTTCCTAAACTCAGAGAAGCGACGGAGGGAGATGAGCGCTCAAAGACTAAGCCTCAGAGGGAGGAGGCAGGGGGGCCAATTTCATTGTGGCAACGTTCGAATTTGCCAGATCACAGTGGTCAAAAACCGCTGTTTACGCGAGAGAATGCAGGCGCGAGAGCTTCAAATTGAGACGTGGAAAAGGACCGAGTACAGGCTGCCCGAGACCACTATGGTGAAGCAGTAAATGAAAAAGCGACTGGAGTTGAGCTTTCGTGAGGTTCAGCTCTGGGGCGTAGTTTATTGCCAGCCTATCCGTCGATAAATATGTGATTATTGAGTTGAAGCGAGCCGGTCTCGAAAGCTCTCGTTGTTGCTGATGTGCTTCACTTTCTTATATGTATTTCGGCCAGGAAACCAGGGTGGAAAAATGTTTGTAAAAAACCTTCCTAAAACATTCCTCAGTGATCATCAATTGAAAATGCTCACGAGTTTGTTGAGTCATATCGTCAGCAAGTCGTTTTATTATTTCTTTGAATTTATTAGTTACCGGATATCTTGGTGTCGCTTTTCTGTGTTCAGGAAGTTTTGGGGCCGATTACTATGAAAAATCAATTTCTCAGAAATTCCTTTTCGCTCATTAATACCGCGGAATATGCTGCTTATTGTTTTCTATTGTGGGTTCACAATTTAACTTTCCCCAATTTTTATACTTTTTTTTTGAAAATCTCTGGGTCCAGTGTGCCAATTCGCATATTTGCACCAAATGCTTCAAAATTCTTGCTGAGGCTACAACTTCCGCCAACCAAGCCAGCATTGAATTTGGTAGAGGGAATACCACCATTTAAAATGCTCATCGGTTTTTCACAGTTTCTTCAAAAGACAGTGAAGTCTTTGAAGTGATGCCCGGAATCGTCGTCAAAAAGGTGGCCTTAGTTAAATCCGTCGAGACGGGTCTGCACCAGTCTTGTGCTGAAATGGTAGGACACCATAACAGTGACTGGTCGATGATGCACAAACGCTTCAAGGAATTTGATTACTCAAGGAGTTCTAATTTTTTGTGCTCACCTGTTACTCACGTGTGCTCAAGAAGAGTGCGTTCTTGACCCCATGTAGCAAAAAAGACTCCGGGAAAAATTTCCCATTTGAGCTGGCAAGTTACAACTTTTCCACCATACAATGTAGGCCCTACTCTAACTAACCGTATACTTCTTTTGTCCACGCCTAACTTTTGGCAAAGGAGAGGGATGATTTGTCAGATGATGTCAAAACCGACCTACCTCTCTTTTTCGACTCAAAAATATCCTAGTTTCAATCGCGAGGGTTCCACTCATACTGGTAAAAGGGAAGGTGCTAATGAGCCACTCGATTGATATGCCCTTTCACTCCCCGGATTCTGTATTAAAATGTTGGTGGTAAGAAACTCGTGGAAAACGACACTAAGATATCCGGTACCTAATACTAGTGATTCTTGCCTGAAATTTTGTCATATCCGAGTCGAACCAGAGCAGGATGGTGTTGGACATTTCATTTAATTCATAACTTTTTAGGTATAATGCCATACAAGAGCGCGAAAAGCGAAAAAGGCGTGGCGCTTTCCAGCATTCTGGTCCCCGACGGAGCCGAAAAGAAAAGACGGCTGGTAGAAAAAGAAAAGAGAAATAAATATTTCTGCAAGATGAATTATTATACTTCTTGTATCTTCCAGAATTTGTTATCTTTGAATGGTTATGGTTGTTGATTGTTGCCAAATGAATCTTACATAAATGCGACATTTCTTTTGTCTTATCTCCACTAACGAAAAAATCACGCTGGAGTTGAATTTCAAGAATTTCACTGTCGTTCTGCAAACGTGACTCTATTGAGATGACGGCTGATGAGACGTAGTGCCTAGAGAATCATCCATGTGATTGATTCTTCATTTGAGGTATTTGTCACTAGGCGCACGTGGAAGGCAGGAATCCTACGGGTCAACCGTGAGGTGATGCCGATTATGCTCACTATAAAGCGATGTCTGTAATAGACGGAGGGTATGCCAAGTGACGATGCATGCGTTACCTTAGCCAATGTAGGTTTGCCCTCGGTGGGTGGAGCACGTGTCCATTCTGAGAGCGAAATTTCTAACCCGGTTCCAGAGTGGCCCCACGAATTCGGGAAAATTAGGTGGGATCAGGGTCAACCGCCGTTGCGCAAAGACCAACGAAGGGGTCTAATTGTCTAAAAAAAGTTGATGGGATCGTACCCTTATCTATTAGGATGGTAAGAAAATCCTGAGCCGTTTGACACTTTTTTGTGCTTTACTTTTTTATTCCGCGTACAATGGAATTTACTAGACATTATACTCACCACTATTACTCACTACAGAGTCCCACCTGATGGGCAGATCAGCGACCCCCTTCTCCCAGAACTGAGCAGAGTGAGAGTCAAAGACTTCGCTGACCGCTCTTTCAACGTCTTCAACTTTGGTGTATTTTTTCTTCGATAGGAATGCCTTGAGGGAATGAAGTAAGGGATAATCAGAGAGGGCAATGTCAGTGGAATAGGGTGAGTGGGCAATCCCGTCTCAGATCAGCTCTTCCAATTTTGCACGGGTCTCTTTAGCTATGTGGGGCCTGGCGTCATCATGGAGTAGGTGGACAGAAGTTCGTCTCGGTCGTTTTTCTTGAACAGCGTTCGCTAGTTTCTGGAGCTGACTGGCGCAAATGCTGTCGGTAGCGGTATGTCTCTGCGGGAGCATCTCATAATACAGCATTCCTCAAGAATCCCTGAGGTAGCAAAGAAGACAGTTTTTGGGGTGAAGGTCCGATTTTGCTTGTGTCGGCGGGTCTTCTTCTCGAGGGAGCCACACGGCACTGTGCTTCTTAGAATCGCATAGGACCCAACTCTCATCTCTGGTGATCATGCCTTCCAAAAACTCCTTTCGGTGCGGACAAAGAAGAAGAAACTGACAAAAGGGTACCCGCCTGAACCGCGTGCTATCGGTGAAGACATGGGGGATCTTTCGAGCCGGCCTTTCCTGTGGAGCGCGTGGAGGGGACCGAGGACTGTGGGATAAGTGCACCCGAGTCTTATCACAGGGCTGCGGGTGCTAACTTCCAGAGCCTCGACAGCGCCGAGAACGGTGGACTCTTCCACCGTTTGGGGGCTTCCCAACCTTGTATTGTCTTCGAAAGCCGTGTCTCCTCCTTCGAAGCTTTCGAACCAGAGTTCGACACTGATGATGGAAGGTGTCCCTTCCCAATGGATGCTGACAATGTTCACGGTTCCCGCTGCTCCTGTGCAGCAGCGCCATTCATTGAAGATGATCGATCGAAAGTGCTCTTGTGGAATCGACATCATGATTGAAGTTAAAGGAGGTAACCCGGCTAGACATATATACCTACTACGGAGAAGTATGATCGACAGCGATAGTCTATCACGTAACAGATTCTAGGTATCGATCAATAAGCGAAACTTCTGGAGCTTTCGAAAAATCGGCTCAGGACTTTCTTACCATCCTAAGTACCAATCACAAAATTTGAAGCAGTCAAGGCGAGGAATGGTAAAGGGAGGAAAGACCTAAAGCTACCACTGCTACTACGCGCCGCAGACGGCTGAATAGCGCATATTAGTGAGCTCGAGCGAAAAAAATTCACAAAATCATAGTGGAGGGAAGTCCAGTTTGTCTCTAGAGCCTTAATAGAAACCTATGGGAGACAAGATTCCTATTGAAGATAATACATAGCAGATGCTGTGATGTAGTGATCTCGTTGACTCCAATGGTTTTTACCGCTTTTGAATATACCGATTTTTAGGATACTTATGACCATTTGAAAGTTGAAAACTCGCGTTCCAGAAGAGGTCTAAAAAACCATCGAGGGAAAAAACGAAACAACGGGACGACCTTCCAAAAGAGTGGTCATTCAGAAGACTTTAAATAGTTTTTCGAAGGCGTCAATCTTCTAGCTTCTAGTTAAACTTGGAGACCTTCAAAAAATTATAATGGAGGAAGTTCAAGATGTTCACGTTTGAATGACAAAAACTCGCACGTTCTTAGAAATCGGATCGCAAACCCCTGGGAAAAGGAATAAGGGGATTATTTCCTGAGAACGTGACCTTTGGAAAAATTGCCGTTTTGAGAGCGCTAATCTTCTAGTTCCTAATAAGCCTTAGAGATCTGCAGAAAGTTAACAATGAAGGACGTTGGAAACATTTTAATGATGAAAACTCACGTGTGTCCAAAAAAGAGAACAACGAGAGGATTTCTTGAAGAATTGAACATTCACACTAGTTCAGCTACTTTTTGGAAAGAAAACAATATGCAGTTTCTGAATTTTTGTATCCAGTTCCATGAGAGCGCAACTGGAGGAAGGTATAACCTTCCAAATGAAGAAGTTTGTATCGCTGCAAGGTTTATCTATACAGCTTATGAAAAAAGGAGGTTTTAGTATCCAAAAAAACTTGTAGTTTCTGAAAGGTAGGTTTCTGAAAGCAGGAATTTCTGCGATGACTAGACTCACGCCAAAATTTAGAAATAACTTTTATTTGATGACTAGACTTTCATGTTGCCTTCCCGTCCTCTGAGCAAGACGAAGCAGGCGGACTTACCACTGTCCACCATCCTCCGTGTCGCTGACGGCTCATACTTCCATGATGGACATAAAAACATGTAAAAAGATACAACACCTAATAAGGGGGTCGTATTAATACCCTCCGAAAGGGGGATCGTAAAAATTTTGAAATCTGCGCAACGCACGGTTGACCCTGAATTCGATGGTTGCACTTCGGAAGTGGAACGCCTGAACCACTTCGTATTCAGTGCGTATTGACAGCATGTTCAAGCATATCATGAGAGGGGCGTACAAATCTACAATGAGATTTTCACAAAAAAGGAACTAAAATGTGTAGTGTACCAGTAATTTTTGCCCCACCCTGTATTTTGTGACAGCAATTTCGAGCTCATCGATCATCCATTCTTCACTCACTACTCCATTTTTTGATTGGTTTCAGTTTCATCATGTATTTGGCCTTCATAGTAGACAATGTCAAAACTTTGTGCTGATTAGATTAGACCGGGCTACCGAAGTAATCGAATCAGGATGGCCGCCACGGCGATCACACGGCACACCTTGGAAACCCTTCTCAATTACATCGTTTTTCTGGGTGATGCTTGCCGACCAATGTGCACTTATTATTTATTTATTCATTTAACTACTGTACACTACAAGAGTATGCTCAAAGAAATTCTAGCTCTGATATATGAGTAACTGTATTTAACGTAAGGCATGATACGAATTGAGTTGATGCTATTATTCCAAGGTACTTCGGTTCTCACTTTTCGACATTCTGTATCTCTTCTGCAGCTAAATGAGCTGGCCTGACATCGACACGATCCAAAATGTAGCATCTATTCATAGCTTCAATGTTAATTATTCTTTGCTACTTCTAAGCATTGAGGAGTCTGTTCTTGGATAGAATTGCGCCACTTTGGAATTCTCCTATTGTATATAGGTTGTAGGGAAAGTCTTTGCGGTTCTCGACAGTTATTGTTTTACTGACTTTTTGAAAGAAACAAAACACATGAGGAAGCAAGGCAATAACCCTCACACACTATCACTCTTTGCCACTTTTCGGGCAGACTTCGGCTGCCTCCAGCAATTATCTGCCCTGAGTTCGACTCAAAAAAGTTACGCAACCAGCGATATACGTCATCTTAATCTTCGAACGTTTTCTCTTGTATGGCATTCGAAAGCGAAAGAAAAATGTGATAGTCTGTTGTACCAGTTCCCTGGCTGTACGGTGAGTGGCTTCCCACTTCCCATCGTGGGTCGAGCTGCTTTTATCGGCTCACTGTTGTAGTGCGTGGACGAACGTTGCCGTGCATTAACAGATCGTGCCGCAATTTCGATGCTTCTCTGCGACCTTGGTGGCCATTTTATCCAGCTCTCAATAGCACAAGTCCACCGCGAGAGCGCGGCAGTAGCTCGTAATGGATAATGCCTCAACAGACTCAGCAAAAACAGATTATTTCAGAGGGTGAACACCTGCCTTCTGTTGCGGCTCAGGCTGATCACCCTGGTCAACCCAGCGTCGGCGGGCTTTGATGTTGACCTACAGACAGCACTTCTCATCCTGTGTTACGATGGACGTCAGCCAACCATCCGTGCGCCTGTACAAGAGCCATTCATTAGTCACCTCGTCACGCTGCGGACAATCGCACGTGTCAAGCTGTGGGGTACGCACTGTCCTAGGTTGTGCATCTTCCCAATGATGCTAAAGGATACACCTGAGACTTGCGCAACTTCACGCGCAGTTTGCCTTGGGTCTGCCCACAGCAGCTTACGCAACAGATCATTGTCGACGTCCAATTCACGTCCCGATCAAGTGGAACTTTCAAGCTGTGTGTATCCCTCGCGGAAGCGTTCAGACCAACCTTGTGCAGTGCATTCGGATACCCTACGTCCTCCACACGCAGCATCAATGCGGCGTGTGGATTAGGCTGCTGATTCGCCAAATATCAACCCGTACAATAAGAGGTCATGGAAGTGCTGTTGTGAAAGCTGCATATTGCTGACAGCTATAGGTAATAGCTAATAATTATACTGAACTCGCACGTATATGTTCTCCTTATATATGCAGAGCCAAGTTGCTGGCAGGCGTTCAGCAGGTTAAAGAATAAGATGTTT